TGGACATCTGTAAGCTATATGGGGTACATATTTTGAAAGGGAGATCTAAAATGGATAGTAATGTTCATTTTACCTCCATCTCCTTTATCTCCGGTTGCAGAGTTGTTGCTGATTTGTTTTTTGTTTGTGTCTACAGATTGTTTTCCAAAGATTTTAGATATGTCAGTTACACAGCCTACAGAGTCGGATCATTTACCTATGGTGTGTACTTTAAAAGATATTGTTACTGGTGGGGATTTTAAAGAAAGTTCAGTTACTATTACTTTCACATGTTCCTAAATATAAATTAAGCCCTTAACATGTTTCCTCTTATGTTAAGCATTTCAGTAGCGATATTTGTAAAGATGTGTTTGAAGAATACTTTTAATGTGAATGCAGCACTACACACGCTCAGAGATATAATATTATATTTAGCAAAGTCAGCTGTTGCCATTTCCAATGGATTTGCAATTAGGAACATATATCAGCCTCCATGGTTTGATAAGGAGTGTGATTTATTCAAGTCGGAGAAATACAGATATTTGGCTAAATTTAGAAGCTGCAAATGTGATTCTAACTTAAAGGAATATATTACTGTCACAAATATATATAAGAATTGTTGCACGCAGTAGAAAATGAACTGTAACTTAAAGCTTAATGAGGAAATCAATTTGTCCGGGAAAAACTGACTGTAAACACTTCTGGACGACAGTGGAAAAAAGCAATACAGGGACGGTCACAGAGAAGTTTTATATATATATATATATATATGTTTTGCAAAGTAACACTCAGTGTTACATAGTCGCCCAAGAAATAGTAGTTTACATTTATCGATATACCCAGTTAGTGACCATAATCCCAAATTTGCAATGGTAGATATTGATCATGACCACTTACCAAGACCTTTGTTCAAAGGTGTCAGCCTGTTGGACTTTGATGTATGTTAATACTTCACAGCCATAGAGACTAGTTTTAAGAATCATTCTGAGCCATATTTTAACACAAGTGATTGGATGTAGGCCAGAATCATTCAGTCCAATAGATCTAAGTGAGTTTACATTCTGTCTTGCTTTCTGACAATACTTTTCACTGCTAGTTTTTGTTGAGAGGTTACTTGTAAAGAGAACACCCCCATATACGGTAGATTCTGATAAGGGGATTAGGATGTTACCAATGCTACAGTGGACGTTTACATCATAGCCTTTTCTTTTTGCTTAAAACGATGATGGTACTTTTTGATGGGTTATATGTTAGACGCCATTTAGAAGCGTGTGAAGAGACAATATTAGTGATACCTGTAGGCCATTAGGGACTGTGCTTATGAGAGTAGTATCGTCAGCAAGCAAGACACTTGGAACGTACATACAAAAGACAGGGATACCACAGCCAGCTTCTCTTAAACATGTAATTAGGTCATTAATAAAAATGAGAAAAAAACAAGAGGATATAACCCTCCCTTGTCAAACACCTTGTTTGACCAAGTACATATCTGACCTCTCGCCGTGGTATGCAACAAATGATTTGCTATTGGTGTAACAGTGATGTAACAGTTTCCATGTATTACCTCTAATACCAAGTTCATGAAGCTTATAGAATAAACCATCATGCCAAATTCTGTCGAATGCTTTTGCATTGTCGAGAAAGGCTGGAAAGACAGGGGAAACTCTATGGTTATAGTATTGTATACTCTCCATGAGAGTGAACACAGACATTATGGCTCCATGCTCTTTTCGATATCCAAATTGTAACGTATCAAGAAAGTCCGGATTTGATTTAAGCAATTTATTTTCAATTCGTTTGAGCAAGAGCTTTTCAAATAATTTACCAAGGCAAGATATTAGTGTGATACCTCTGTAGTTTCGAGGGTCGGTTTTATCATTTTTACCTTTGTATATTGATATTACCATTCCAATACTATATTCGTATGGGACATATTGAGATTCAATCATATGATTGAATAGTTTACATACATAATTAATGAATACATCACCTGTAAATATGATATTCTCGTTTGTAATTTTGTCGGGACCTTGGGATTTGTTTTCGCTTAAGAGACTTAACAGCATCCTTTATCTCATCAAATAGAAAGTCTTTTTCTAGTTCCTCATCATAATCCTCAGTGCTGCTATTGTCAATTTCCTGAAACCAATTGAGATATGTGATTTTGAAATCATCATCAAATGTTTCTGACTCAGCTAGGTCGGTATATTTTACATACTTCAGAGGGCGTTGAGCCGCTCTCGCCTCCGTAATCAAAGTGTAGATACATTTGCAAGTACTGCCCTTTGCTTTCGGACAGTTTTGTAGAAAGAGTTTACGTCCAATTCAGCGGATAATTCAATTTCTTTTAACATTTCTTTTTTATGGGATCTTTTTTATTTCCGAAGCAGACATCGGAATTTTCTTTTCTCATCTTTATAGGCCAAACGTTGTTCAGAGTTCACGAGGTTTACCGGAGTTGATCCATGCACGCCTAGCTACACGCATATCGTAGTGAGCATAATTTAGGCAATTAGTTTTTCAAAAAGGTTTTAGGTATGGTTTGTTATTACTGGGAGGTATAGAATTTGAGGAAGCATACAATAGAGCAGAGCTTATCATATCATTGAAGTGATCTATATTGTCTGATTGTTTTAAATCTACATGAGAAAAATTCCGAGAATACATAACGTCCTCGAATAGTCTTTGGTAAGCGTTCATGTCATTTTCATTAGCTAATATATCCCCAAGTGACTGGCTTGTTTACTTTAGGGTTCTACTTAACCCTATACAAGGAACTGATTATAACAATACGTTTGACTATGATAATAATACGAACTGACTGCTTTTCAACATCCAGTGGTGTTAGACAGGGCTGTATTGTAAGTCCTTTACTGTTTATATTCTTCATAAATGAGCTTGCAATTGAAGTACAAAATAGTAACAGTCATGGGATATTTGTTACAGAAGAAATTCTGGACATAATGCAACTACTCTTTGCTGGTGATGTTGTAATGTTTTCTCTCTTTTTTTGTAAATGGCTTGCAAAGACAGTTAAATGTCTTACAATCCTATTGTACCAAATGGGGATTAGAAGGAAATTTTAGCAAACCCAATGTTATGTTTTATAAAAATGATGGTGTTGTTGCAAAAATGGAAAATGGTTTCTTGGCTCATCTGTCTTAAACCTAGTCACTTATTACAAATAATTAGGTCTTATGTTTTCTTCTATACTGATCTCGTCTGTGGTATGGTATGGTATGTGAGCAAATAGCTACCTAGGCAAATAAATCCATTATGCCCCTATATTTTATTAGCGAAAAATAGATTTGTATCTTTCCTCACATTGAGTTCCATTTAAATGGAAAAAATATGCCTGTTCTCCTATACTGCTCTGAAATATGAGGTGCTGTCTAATAAAGAGAATACTAAACTGTGATTGAAAAGGTCCATACTTCATATTTACTAGTTGTTGGTAAGTTTGCTTCTAATAAGGCAATCCAAGGTGAAACTGGTCGCAGTGGCATTTGTGTAGACAGTCAATTAAGGGTAATTAAATATTGGATTTAGTTACTAAGAATGTCGCCACATAGATATCCATAGCAGTTTTATAAAATGTTAAAGATACTTGATGATAAAGGCAAGAATAATTGGGTTTCAGGTGGGTGTTAGAAATTTATTGTTTGTTACCGGCTATGTATGGGTATCCCAAGATGTTGGAGATTCACAATTGTTTGTATTTTCATTTACACAAACTTTGAAGGATATACTTTGACAACAATGGCACTGTGATATTTCTTCATCACCCTATCTCAGTAACTACAGTAACGTGAAACCATTGTTTCAAACGGGAAGATAATCGATAAGAGTTTAGATAGAGCTTATGATAGATTCGGAATTTCTCTGCATGACTTTAATGTAAATGTATGTCACAGATCCCAAAATAGTGATAGCATGTACATTCATGTAAACACTGTCGTTTAGGGGAAGTAGAGGGCGTCTTAATAATATGTGAAACATGTTCTAATGTAAGGTATAAATGTCTGCCTATGGTGTAGGATAGATTTAAACACCGTTAGCTAATGATAAATCTTTTAAACTCAAATAAATCCAGATCTGATCCATGCTGTTTCTGTTTATAAAATGTCATCAAATTTCAATATGTACATGTATATCACGGGGCAAATGTTAATTTGTTATCTGCATTTGTACAAGGCGCCTTGAGCCTGAAGTACTGGAAATATACTGTCTGTCTGTCTGTCTGTCTGTTGATTATTCCATGGAATTGAGCAGGATGATGGACTCTGGACGGGGCAGTTGAGTAATCCGCAGATTGAGCAGTTCCTTAATCTACACACGACATATAAATTCCTACGCCACAGCGACTAAGTCAAAGTCGGCGTTTTGTCAGGCAAATCAACAGTCGTAAGTGTAATGAAGGTGCTGACGACACAAAGATGGGTTTAAGTAACACTCTTATTTAATAATGAGAGTAGTAAAAAGGTACGAAAGACCCGGCCGCTGCATAAGGCCGATATTAACATATAAAACCTCAAATAGTGACATAAAGTGATGTTACAAAGAGGCACCATATATATACGTTTTGAATGCCACAGTCTTGGGGCTGAAATATTGAGAAAGTTTAATAGAAACTAAAATTTCGTTTCTGCCCCTTGATAAATGGTCTCACTTAACATCTGCCACCCAAATTTTAGCACGCTTTTCTTACCATATATTACCACTTCACATCACAAAAAAACACGTGAAGATCCTGGTAAGAACCCAACCCATGCTTGTCGTAAGAAGCGACCAACGGGATTGGGTGCTCTGGCTCACTGACTTGGTTGACACGTGTCATCGTATCCCACTTGTGTAGATCGATGCTCGTGTTGTTAATCACTGGATTGTCTGGCCCAGACTCGATTATTCACAGACCGCCACCATATAGCCTGGCATATTGCTGAGTACGGCCTTAAACAACAGCCAACCGAACACAAAAATACACCCGTTATGAGTCGATGTCTGGGTCAACAAGCACTTACGTTCCTGACAGCCCGTCCCAGTGTATCCATCCTTGCACCCACTCTCACAGTATCCAGTGATTTTGTCGCACACCTCAGATGTGTTCCTACAGTAACACCAGGTACCGCAGTCAGGCCCGAAACTCCCGTCAGTACACTCTGGAAAGTCACGAAAATACAAATTGGTAGTTTGATGTAACTGATTAATATCACATTCACATATTATATCATAATCGAGATTATTGTAACAGTAAACTTCAACTCCAATTCAACACACAACAAATATGTAAAGTTCACTTACATCATATTATTCTGCAAAATATTACTCAAACTCAAACTCTAACTGACACCAGGGTAGTTTTGCTGATGTGTGCTGTTGGGTTAAGAATAGGTGTCTGATAGGTCGTCCGGTTTCTATAGCCGGTCGTATTTTCGAACGAAGGACGAAGAAGCCACTCTAATTAACCAGCCACTTCACATGAACAGATGGATCTTGTCTTTTCTGAGATCTGAGAATGAATGTATCGTCCTTAGCTGTTGTCACCAGACAGTCACAATATTTCCTCATGCCATTATTTACCATATATTTCCACTTCACAGAGATTGAGGATGTAGCCCGAGCCGACCAGTGTTGGCAGCTGGACAGTGACATGTTGTCCACGTGTGGGTGTGTCACAGCTGATGTTGACGGGGGAGCTGGGACGGTGGGTCCGACTCCATTCATAGCAGACCCGCTTATGGTCTACCCCTACCAAGAAGCCTTGCATCCGTTCTAGAAACGAAATTCAATTTACATCAATTCGTCAGTGGTATAACGTGGTTGGTTCAGTCGACAACTAATGGTGGGGGTAATATTGTTAAGTTAACTGTGTATTTAATGCCAGTGGGACACATGATGGAAAATGAAGGCTCCAGCGATTTCAACTGTGTATGAAGCATGTGATAATATACTTCTTATCAAAAGTTTAGACTCACTAGTGTAAATATAGCCACTTACTTCAGGCAACTGTTCTAAACTAAATTTTACAAAATATTCCATACTGTTTAAAGGTACAGTTTACACATGAACAGATGTATTGTAAAACAAATTCGAAACGTTGAAGAGAGTATTGTCATGAGTTCAGTAAAGGATAATAATCAGTGAAAATTGGCGAATTCTCAACACACCTTTACACAAAAACACAGCTGTTCACATGCAGTATATTTGCACATGCTTTTCAGCAATTTGATGCATGATCCTGGCGCAATTCATCTGCATAAAGTTTGCAGTTGGTTCCCCATAGTTAGTGGAGAAACAATCTTCGATGTAACCATAAACATATACATAACATATAGTGAGTGTTTTAAGTGAGTCTAAACTTTTGAAAAGAAGTATAGTATAATATGCGCTGTAGACTACAGAGACGCTTGTAGATTTTTCGGCATTAGATGACGGGTATGAATGTTTAATTGCACCATATTTCTATGGGAACATCATCTACCTATATTTTCCAAAATGATAGGGGCAACGTCGTTCCAATTAGCACACTGCCAGATTAAATGTTTTGGAAAACAAAGATAAACGGAAACTGCGCACGGCCGTCTTCAATTTCGATTAAATTATTCATTGTCAATGAACATGTTACATTCCCCATGAATTGACAAATTGCGTTACAATAATATGAATGGATCGCTGACAATCAATGACGATACCTGGCAGTGGCGTGTCCTGTCCTACTGGCTGTACCGCCACTCTCACTGCTTACATAAAATAGTAATGTTGGTTGCCTGATAGTGACAAGTTGAAATTCCCATGGAACTGAATGTAGTAGTGTTATGAGAGTGTGTCTTTTGTTAATTAAGATGTCACTTTGATTAACTTTTCATTATTATGGGTCACAAATGTTTAAAGTGCTGAGTGTAGTTTGAACTCGCATCTTGCTTAGACTGTGTAATTTCGCCTATTGAGAGCGGGCTGAGGAGCTGTGCTCGGGGGTTATGTCCTTATTGTTATGCTCCCGGTTTTCTGCTTCCGGTGTAAGACTTTCGAGAGAGTTCTACATGCTCGTAGTGTGATCTAAATGGCCATAATGATGCGTAGCTACTGCTAGAATTCTCTGTGATATACATACGGATTGGTTGCTGAGATGTTCGACAAGACTGTAAGGAAACTCTTTAAAGGCAGTTTTAGGATGGTGTAGTAATACAAGAACCATCTTACATGTCTTATGGATAACAAGCTATTGACTTAGTTTCACAACGTTACTGGGTTAGTTCTCTTTCCCTTTCTTCAGGTGGATAATGATCATAGTGAACAGTACAATATACATGTATATCATAAGGATCAAGACTCCGGTGATGATAGATATTTAGTTGATATTTTAGATTTGTGACCAAGTATTTTAGATATGTGACTCCATTATTTTGTATTAGAAATCTGTACTGTCATTTATTGTAACCTTGCTCATTGTTTATTCAATATATACTATCCCCAAAAAGAAACACATAGGCAAGAAATCTGTTGCGAAAATGTTATATTTTCGAACATGTATAACTCTAGACTTTGTGCATGCATTTTTACATCAGTTTAGCTGAAGGTAATGTGTATACAACCAAGTAGATAATTTTAGACAACGGAGAGACGTTGTGCGCGATGGTGACCACGTAGCACGGTCCCGACGTCGGGTTTCCTGGCTCTCAGTCCAACCTCCGGTTTGACCGGAGATCCTCTGAAGTCCAGACACCTTGGCTGCTGTGCTCTCACCCGTTGCAGTACGATTACGCAAATGTAGTACCCGGATGTACCGATCTTGGGCTGCAGTGGTGACTCGAGGCCTGCCTGTACGGGGACGGTCAGAGTGGAGGATCAGGGCGGCGTAGTCCAATTTAGGCAGTATAAGCGTAGGTTGATGAGTGTGTGTTTGTCGGCACCCCAGTTTGTGCCACTGATGGCTCTCATTAGGTTGAGATCTTTTTGACGTGAGTTGACCAAGTTATGGATGTGGGGCGTCCATATCATATGTTGGTCGAAAGTAACTCCTAAGAATTTTGCTTTCTTTTTGAATTCAATTGTTTGGTTATTTAAGTGCAGTTTGGGTGTATAATTTTGCATAAGTTTGGTTTTGAAGATAATGCCCACGGATTTTTCGACATTTATGAGGAATCCCCACTGTCGGGCCCAATTTTGGATATGATTTAGCATTTTTTGACATTTTGTGGAGACTTGTTTAATAGAGGTAGAAGAAGAAGTCCAGAAGGAAATGTCATCTGCAAATTTAGCTTTTGAAATTTCTGGCCATTTATCTGGGAAAATATCATTGATCATGAAATTAAAAAGTGTTGGCGATAATATGCTGCCCTGGGGGTCCCATTTTCTAGGGGTGGGGTCCGAGAGGGTGTTGTGAGATTTGAGGATTATGTGTCTATTATTAAGGAAAGAGTGAATGAAATTTAGAATTCTTCCGTGAATGGCATATTTTGGAGTTTTTGTATGAGGCCGTTGTGCCAAACCATATCAAATGCTTTACTAAAGTCAATGAAAATGGCCATTGTGTTTTTGTGCATGGGCTACTTTAATATCTTGTTCTAAATGTAAAATATGGTCCAAAGTTTGCCGGTTTGGAGTAAAGCCACTCTGGTCCTCCTTGATTAGGTTTTTGAAGAGATAAGGTGTTTGAGCCTGTTGTTAATTATACTTTCTAGAGTTTTACATAAATGAGAGGTGAGGGAGATGGGCGATATGAATCAGGCTCATTGCTGGGTTTCCCTGGTTTGAGGATTGGTACCACCTTGGCTGTTTTCCATGTATTTGGTATAGTACCTGTGGTCCAGATATGGTTAAAGAGGGTAAGTGTTAGGTTTTCATGTTTGGTGTAAGTTTGTTGAGTATAGTGTATGTAATGGTATCTGGACCTGGGGCTGAGGCTGTCTGTTTGTTTTTAATGCAGAATGGAGTTCGTGTATATTTATGATTTTATTTATAGGTGAATCTGTATGGGGTGGTTGTGGGGTGTATGGAGGATGATTTTTATAGTGTTTTGGAAGGAGGGTGGGTAGTTGGTGGAGCTGCTTACGGTCGAAAGCAAATGCATTAGCTCTGTCTTTGTTTGTGGCTAGGTCTGGAAAGTTTGGAGAAATAGTTTTTGGAGATGCCCTTAATGGCCTTGAATTTATTCCACATGGTTCTGGAGTTTCGATTTGATAGCCTAAGGGTAGAACAAAAATTGTTTCCAATGGTCACTTTTGCTGCCTGGATTAATTTCTTGGTTTTATTTCTTAATTGTTTTGCCAAATGTAATTTCGAACGGTCCCTTTAGATTGATTTAGGGCCCTTTTTCTTGCCTTCTGGCTTTAATGATTTCAGTGCTCCACCAGGGGACTGTTTTTGTGCAGGGTTATACCGAAAGGTGGGGATGCATTTTTCTGTAATATCTAGTATGGCGTTAGTGAGGTTGTTGTTGAAGGTGTTAATGTCTGTGTTGAAAATGGTTGTAGTGTCTATTTGTTTACATAGTGTTGTGAATTTGTTCCAGTCTGCTTTTTAATGTTGTATCTTAGTTCTGTGGGGGTGGGGTGGGGTTGTGGTGGGTGTGGTGAGTGTGGGAATATGTGATGTGATTGTAATTTTGATGGGGCAGTGGTCGCTGCCCCAGGTGTCGTCGTACCTCCCATATACAAGCTTGTGTAATTTTGGGTGTGGTGGGTGTGATGTTAATTGCTGTAGGTGTCTGTAGATGGGAGAGGGATAGGGTAGGTTGATTGTCGTTAAGAGAATTGAGGTTTTGTGTGCTTAGCCAGTCGGCTAGGCGGGTGCCGTTTAAATCAGTGACAGTGGATGGTGTGCATTAAAGTCTCCGAGGATAATAGTTTGGGGACCTATGAAATTAGCCAGGATGTCCAAATCTTGGGTGGAGATTTTGAAATTTGGTCTTCTATAAACGTTAATGATGGTTAAGTCTTTATTATTTAATTTAGTTGTGATTGCCAGGACTTCTAAATCTTGTACTGGAATTTGCAATATGTTGTAATTTAATTTCTCTGCAATAAAAATCCCCAGACCCCCTCCAGGGGGGCCGGGGTAGTTAGTTGGCCGTGGTCTGTCTTTCCGAATAAAATTGTAGCCTGGTAATTTGAAGGCATTTTGGGGGGATAATCTTGTTTCTTGCAGAGCTATAATATCGGGTGAAATTTTGTTTTGGGCAATGAGTGCCTTGAGCTCATGCCCATGAGCTCGGAGACTGTTGCAGTTCCACTGTATAAGTGCCATGGTTACTGCAATTAGGAATAGGATTTTAATAAATGCCATGGCGTGGGGCATGAATTTGGAAGAATGGGGATTTGGTGCTAGAGTAGCTTAGAGGTTGATTGTTTAAAAGGGGGTTTTGAGAGCGATGAGGAGACTGGCCAAGCTTTTGTGATAGAGTTTGATTTATGTGAGAGAGTATGTAGTTTTTAGCTGTTGGTTTTCCATTAGTGTGGCTGCAATGATAAATTCGACAATTTTGTTTAAGTTTTGGTTTAATTTTTGTGGTGTGAGGGTTAGTGTGGGTTTGTGGGCTGGTGCTGGGGTTTTATTAGGTGGGGGCTTGAGTTTTATTTGTGGGTAGGGGGTTGGTGGTTTGTGTTGGGAGGTGTTTGGGGGTGGGGGAGGGTTAGTGGGTTTGGATGGGGGTGCAGTTTTGGGACGTGTTTGTTTAGGTGGGGCAGTTGGGATGGGTGTGGGGAGGAGGGGGCTGTTTGGTGGGGTGGCGGGTTTGGGTTTGGGTGTGGTGGGGGTTTGGTTTGGGTGGGTGG